ATATATAGTGAATTGCTTTATCACTGAGCAATATGCCTTTCTGTAAAGGTTCTACTTTCGATCCTCTGGGTCAATCTCGAGGTCCCGTTTCTCCACTGGAAGCCAAGAATGAAGATACGTAAGTATATGTTTATTTTCACTTAATAATATTGGGAGCTGTATACATATAAATGAACGTGTAGATCTGTTTTTCATAGTACGACATGCAAAGTAATCTGTAGGTGTAGCACTTGTAGCACTTATGGGTATTATTGCCTTTCACAAAGATTATGGTACTGCCATGGAAAGCGCCTTTATCTGCTTCCTAGACTGAGATGCTGGCTCAGAGATGACATAATCATGTACATCCTGGTGCTTGTGCAGTTCATGGGTTTGTTCACACATGTCTGATACAGATCAGCCCATGCTGCAGACTCTCACCTAATGAATTGCTAAAAAGTTTCTTTAATACAGTCTAAGCACTGATGGAGAAGAGACTGTGGAAATGCCTCCTTCTGCCTCCAGCAGACTGGTGACATCATCTCAGCTTAGGCATAGTTATTGGACTGAAAATCAATCACTGTTTTTTAATGACAAAAGATTTAGCTTTTAAAAAACTATAAGATTACTGTATTTGATAGCATGTCAGGAATAAAGTCATACAGACTCGTAAAGATCCTGAAAGGGGTACGTTAAGTGCTGTAAACATTCTGGATTTGATTTCTGTAAATTATAAATGAGTTATCCATGATGGGTCTTATTTTATATGTTTGCTACATTGTCCTGCAGTTTTTACAATAGCCATGTATCGTATAAAAGACTTTCTTTTTATATGAGGGTGTTTGAATGAGCAGGTCAACCAAAACTGTTTTTTTTAGGTATAGATTATAATGGGATGAGTCCTGAGTAAGCTTCTTTATCTCTTGGGAGCCCCAGCCCCCAAATTTCCCTGTTGTAGTTCCCTGCTCTATTCCCAGACAGATTTTGGATGTTTTTGCCCACCCATGGGAGTTTCACTTCTGCAGGTTTTGTCTCCAGCAGGGAAAGTAGAGTGCCATAGCTGGCATGCAAACCTAGGAACTCGATCACAGCAATCTCGTCACTACACTCAGAGAATGTGTTAGACATCCATTATCTACAAGTGTAGAATAGAACAGAATACCGTCAACTTCTGAGAAAACTGAAAAGTTAAAAAAAAATAGTCATATATAGAAACCAGTGATGTTGCAGCTTTCACTATCCGTTGCATTGTGGAAAGTAAAGTCAATACTGGTTTGGCTTAGAGCTGCAACAGTTAATCGATTTAGTCGATTAAAATCGACGATTGAAAACGTTGGCAACGTTTTCGATCGTCGATTCTGTTAAGCGACCTTTTGACAATCTGAATTGTAATCTTTAGTCTTTCTCAAATTTTAGAGATACAGTATATGTGAGTGTGATCAGCCTTAAAGTGACATTAAACCCTCAGATTTTTTAACATAAAACAATACTGTAATGTGTGCCTTACTGTAATCCATGGTTGTTTCCCTTCTCTTTGCTGCTCTTCCTTTTAAATCCTCATGTCTTCTCATGCTGGGCAGAACTTCTGTTTTTTAGCTGACTGCCTTGTCTCTGAAAGGGATACATGGTGTCTGTGTGTTGGTTTGCAACCTGAGCCAGCACTACAGGAAGAGGCACTCAGCTGCAAAGGGAAGTTCTCCCCAAGCATGAGAAGACATGAGGATTTAAAAGGAAGAGCAGCAAAGAGAAGGGAAACAACCATGGATTACAGTAAGGCACACATTACAGTATTGTTTTATGTTAAAAAATCTGAGGGTTTAATGTCACTTTAAGTATATCAAACTGCAAAACATTTTTCTTTTTGCTTTGGATAGAGCAGGAAGTGTTTAGCCCTTCTCAGGTTGTTTTTGCCATGGGGGGATTTTTCTTTACTTCCTGTACCATAAACACAACAGGAAGAATGCGTAATTCAAAGCTGAGGAAAATCTCAACAGATGTCCCCATTGGAAGATTTTTCCTCTATCCCTGTTCAGCGACAACTTAACTCAAAATTTTGGATTGTTTTCAGTGGTCACCAGGACAAATAGAGTGAATTTCCCCAGTGGGGACAAAGAGAGCAATAAAAAAAAATGGGGGTTCTAACCTTTCCCCACTATAACTAAAAATTTAAAGTCAGCTTTAGATACACTTTAATGCAAATAATCTCACTGGTGTGTTTTTAACATGGGAAGGTTAAGGTAAAGTTATTGATGAATGCCAGAGATATGTTTTCTGGTGCAGCATGTACAGGGTACGTTTGTATTCTGCAGCCATTAAAAAGTGCACAGTGAAGCTGTGATGTGTACTGAACACAAGGGGGAGGTGTTTATGTACTGACCCTGATTATGAGTTTTTTCTTTCTTTTAGACCAGAGGAAAAGATTAGACAATTAGAAAAACAAGTTAATGAATTAATAGAAGAAAGCTGTATTGCCAACAGCAATGGCGATTTAAAGACGGTGAGTTTCTATTTCTATTGCACTTTCAGCAATCAAATTTCTATTGCAAAATACATACATTCTGTTGAAAGTATGACAATATTCTCTGTCTGCTTTGTTAGGCCCTGGACAAAGCAAAGGAAGCTGGGAGAAAGGAGAGAGTTTTGGTCAGACAAAGAGAGCAAATCCTGTCTTCTGAGAATATTAACCTGGACTTGACATATTCGGTATGTACAGAGATAGATTGTTCTTTTATATAGCTGTGTTGTATGCATGAGGCCAGAGGGGTGCATGGAGCAACCAATCAGAGTCCAGGTATGATTTTTCTAGTGCAGCATACAGTACATATTATCAGGTTATGTACTCTTAGGCTGCCCATACACCAACTTTTCGTCCGATGATCGAACCGTCGTACGATTTTCGTACAGCGGCCTCATCCTGCCCCAATTATCGCAAGGTTGGATCAGCGGTAATTAGAAGAAAGCACCTGGACGAATTGCAGTAATCGATTGCACATATTTTCGTCTGCACATGTCGTAGTAATTGTGATGTACGGAAACGCCACCAACCTTGTGAAAATCGTACGATCGACCGAAGTTTTCTAACCTGCTGGTTAGTCAAAAGTCGATCGATTGTACAGTATTTGCGGTTGTACACTGCCCATCAACCTTACGAATATCGGAAAAAAACGCGATCACATACGAAAATCGGCCGATATTTGTAAGGTGTATGGGCACCTTTAGTATGTCACACACACACACACACAACTTGGACAGCTGACTTCATCATAACTGTTATAACACTCTTCCTTATTAAATTATTTTTCTTAAATGTATAACAGGTGCTGCTGAACTTGGCCACCCAGTACTCTGCCAATGAGTTGTATGCGGAAGCCCTGAATACTTATCAAGTGATTGTGAAAAATAAAATGTTCAGCCATGCAGGTATACATGATTTTAATTTAATTACATTTTTAAAAACAAGCTGCAAATAAACATTCCCTGGTTTCCGAATGATAAATCCTTAGGTGGGTAGAACAGTTCACATATACAGTCATGTAAAAAGTAAGTACACCCAATAGTAATTGTTGACGTTTTTCACCATATTTGAACAGGCAGTGGTTAGATCTTTATTCACACAGTGCCTACAGATAACGTTAATATACATGAATAAATTGCACATACAATTGATATTCATGGGTGTAGTGATTCTTATAATCTAAAAGGAATGCAAATGCATATTTGTCACATAGAAAAAGTAAGTACACAAATACAATAACCTCCCACATACACACGCAGATATGCATCGGATGCGCCTATGTGCGAAAACAACGATTGTGCCTAATTTGCCGCACATGTTACATATCGCCGCAAACGTCGCAGTGAGAGCAATAATTTTAGGGCCATTAATCACTGATAACACTAAACTGATGAGCAGTAAAAGCGGTTTAAGTGTCGCCTATGGGCCTGTGGGCGTTTTTTGCGATTTTGCGGGCGCACACAATTTTAAGGCTTGACATGTTTGTTGTCTATTTACCCGACGTGATCCCGCCTTTTATGTTTAACCAAAAATATGGGTAAGAATAAATGTTTTATAACATAACGTAGGGAAACTTTTTTTTTTTTTTACATTTACGGTACTTTTCTCATTATATAGTAAAAAAAAAAATAACACCCCTTCCCCCATGGTGATTATATACCTCCAAAAGAAAGCTCTATCTGTCCCCAAAAAATGTTAACATAAATTGCAAGGCCGATAGTCCGGTCATGCTGACTGGTGACAGTAGACTGTGCAGATAAAACCTGTCTTGATTAAAGCTGAAGTATAATCTTTTTATATTTTATTCTTCCTTGGCTCTTCCTCCCTCTTCATTAACATGCTAATGAAATTATTAAATACAATCTTCCTGTTTCCAAGCCATACCTAATTTTAGACCAAGTGATTAGGCAGGTTCTATGTGACTTGCTTCAGCTTCTGATGCACATCGTGAGAAGCTCACAGTGTGCAGTGAAATCAGAGCAAGCTATTTCAGTACAGGAGAGGCATCTGTACAACCTGTCAAAACTGAAGGTAAGGCTGGCGTTCAGCTTTACATCTCAGATAACTAGGGTCTGAGGTTCTCTTAAAAAGAAGGTTGTGGATATCTAGGAATAGTCTGTAGAGGGATTTCCAAATATCACCAAATTATTTGAAATCAATCATTCCACTGTAAGGAAAATAATCTAGACGTGGCAGAGATTTCAAATGTCTGCTAACTTGCCAGCCCCGCAAATCCAGCCCAAGAACTGACAGTTTCATGCCAAAAGAATTCTCCCAGAACTTCATCACAGGATCTGCAGGTCATTTTTGCAGCAATTGGTGTCAAAGTGCATGTAATATAGTCAGAAGGTGATTGCACCAAGCTTTTGAGGTCAAGGGTTTTCTTCATTATTCCACAGTACACTATTACATCTTTTGATATTTTTGTTGAATAGATGATAATACAAGCAGAGTTTTTGACATTGTACTCAAGTATATAATTGCTATCTGTAAGCACTGTTTAGATGAAGATCTAATACAGTAAATTCTCCATTATCTGCCATTCAAGCAACCGATACTCTCAAGCAACTGGCAAAAAAAAACGAGGACATCATATGTCCTCATTTTATTGTTTTAATTTTTTTGCCGGTGGCTTCATGCACACTAAAAAGTTGTCGGTTGCTTGGTACACACAAAAATTCCCAAGCAACTAAATGTATTTAGTTGCTAAGGAAATTCTTTGTTTACATCTTGCAGCCAACCAGAGGCTAAGTTCCACAGTCGGCAGCAGAATGAAAACAACGGGGAGCAATAGCCAGCCTGCTATTGGCTATTTAAAATGCAATAGAAGGCTGGCTGTTGTTCCCGCCCACTGAGCAGAGGAGTGGACCTGAGCGAGAACTTTTTCTCTCAGGTCCGGTCCTCTGCCCAGTGGGCTGTGTTTCAATAGCCAGCCTGCTATTGGCTATTGCAATTAGAAATAGCCAATAGCAGTCTGGCTATTGCTGCCAGCTGCTTACATTCACCTGTGGGCTGCAGAAGCTAGTTACTATTAACTTTCAAGTAACCAGAAACTATAGTTATACTGCACCTACTGCGATCCCCATGGGTGCCTAACTGGGAGTTTACTGTATTTTCCTGTTCCAATATGTTGAAAAAGTCAACAATGTCCATGAGGTGTACTTACTTTTTCCACATACATGTTTATAGTAAATCTGATTGCCTGAAGCTCTGTTTTAAAAAGTTTTTTTAGAATGGAAGATACTTGATAAAAGTAATGTTTTGGTGGTAGATATTTCTTGCAATTGACTTCTTGCAATGCTATAGAAGAATATTGTTAAAGTATATTTAAATCCAAAAACAAAATGTAATATATTGCATTGATGTGGTGGCCGCATTCGTTTTCTTTTTTTTTCAGACTTTATTTTCATGTAGTGATCCTGCCAGTAACTTAATTCCTGTCCTAGAATGGCAATGCGCATTATTCATACTGTATCAGTAGAAAAGAAACAAGCTAGGACTGTGAAACCCCACTCCCCTCCTATACTACATAACATAGAGGAATGTGATTCCGTAGCCCTATAGAGATAGCTGGGAACAATGTAACTGAGAAGAGTCAGCAGAGGCAAAGAGCACAGGATGTTATCAGCTCACAGGATTAAAGGGGACTTTTTTAAATGTTTCATGACTCCCTGTAAAGATTCTGATCTAGCACAATACTAAATCCAGATATCAAAAGGATTGTCCAGTGTATTGTCACATTTGGTAACGGTAGGAATTAGCAACTCCTCTCGCAAAAACATTGACGAGGAGGAGAACAAACTAAAGAGGAAGAAGAGCAGGAAAAGAGAATGAAAAAGGAAGATAAAGCGGAAAAAAAAGGTGAGAAAGAAATAAGGTAGAAATAGATCAACGTAGAAAGATCAAGAATAGAGAATGAGAAGGAGAGGAGCAAAGAGGAAAGAGAGGGAAAGAGAGAGACAAAATCCTAAAAGGTCCAAGCATAGATGATTAAAGATCCAACAAGGAGGGATCAAACTTGCAAAGGTGAACATATTAGATCCTCGGTTGCCAGATAGCAAGAGATTTCTTCTGAGTATCGGCCAACATTGCAGTGACTTTTTCATTTATCATAATACCAGATGGTCTATTCTTGACCGCCCCTTAAAACTAAGGATTGGAGAACTCCAAGCTCTAGCAATAACTATATGTTGGACCAATGCCCTTTCAGTACAGAGCAGGGTGGAGATGGGTTTATTGAGAAGGGCTTCCACTGGATTTTTACAAAGATTTGTATGCAACAATGTATGAATGAGATGATAAACTCGGACCCAAAGTCTAGACCCTATTGGCAAGTCCGAGTTCCTCTGTATCTTTGTGGGTAGAAACTAGACATGACATTTCAATCCAACAGCAACTCCCCTGCTCTGTATTGACAAATATTGTTGAGCTTATGACCACTGTGTACTAAAAAAACTTTAGTGGTGTGGAATTCCTATCCCCGACGCCCAGGACATGCAGTTCCGGGCATCGGGCAGGTGTTTTTTTTTTTACATTTAGCCCTGCTGTGGGCTAGCAGGGCTAAATGTAGAGCGGGGAAGCCGCGGGTTGTTTTTTGTACAAGTGATCTGAGATCACTTGTACAAAATGAGCAGCCATCTTGTCTGCCCCTCCCTGCCGAGGTTTTTGGGGTCCCCCGCTCTTCTGTGGGACCCAGGCCCATGGCAATCATTTCAGGATGGGGAGCAGATGTCACGCCTGTTATGGATTTGGGGGTTTGTGGATCGCAACTGCGGAGGCTTCTCAGGCAGGAAACCCTGGTTTTTACTCTCAAACTTAACAGAGAGTTAGGGTTTCTAGCATCACAGCCTCAAAATAAATGATAGATGGTTCAGAGAGGGTTATTCCTACATAAGCCCTACCCTTAAGCAGCAGTGTTGAATTTGGAATTACTGAGTAGCAGGTCAGAGAAAGCAGGCATTGATTCAGTTCCCCAGCAAGTAGTAATGACCTTACATATGGAAGTTCAGATAGGCATACAGTCTTTATGGCAGAGTGTGCAACTGCACTGAATACTTGCTGTTTAGGTACTGGAGTTTCTGGATGGAGCTGGAGTTCTTTTGGGGTGTCCGGTCCCAGGGTGAGTGGCTGCAGGCACTAGCTGGAGGCTATGGAGGGTCCCAGGAGACAGCAGGCATTCTGGCTCAATAGTGGAACTCCATGCTGTGTCTTCTGGGCGTTTAAATAGGGCTATGGAGAGGAGGAGGAGCCGCGGCACGCATCGGCGCACGTCCGCGTTCCAAGGCGGAACGCACCCGGCCTCCGAAACCGGAAGTGACGAGTGTGCACTCCACCATGGAATGCAAGCGGCCGGGTCAAGGAGCGGCTGGCTGCTGCGTCTCCCGATGTCCTGCTAGAGCTGACGGCGGCGGCCGTTACAGCAGAGCGGAGAACGTCCGTTCTCTGATCTGCTCTCTGTAATCAGTGAGACAGGAGCGCTGTACTCACATCGCCCCCTATCTCAGCTGTTACAAGCTGCACGGAACCTCTCTTTTCATTTTTACTTTATTATTTTTGACTTTGTCTATTTCTAATTTTATAATTTTTTACTTTTTTTCATGTAATTTTTTTTTCACTTAACTTTATTGCTATCACACAGGGGATAACAGGACCCTATGTGATAGTGTTTGGTAGTGACAGGTTCTCTTTTTAGAACCTGCCCTTCAACACAGAACATCAGGCAACTGCATTGTGCTCGATCTCCCGCCAAACACATCGGGGCTTGTTAGTCCCTGTGTGATAGCAATAAAGTTAAGTGGGAAAAAAAATAAACTGAAAAAAAGTAAAACATAATAAAATCAAAATCAAAAAGAGATAAAGTAAAAAATAAAATAAAAATTAAACGATAAAGTAAAAAATCATTAAA